CTGGAATCCTGTATCCACAAAATATCACTATTGAGACATTTTAGAACAAGACTCCAGCTAAACTATCGAGGACCACAGACCTTCGGATAAAGATTGACAAACGGCTATAGGCTAGTGTTCCATAATTCTTGCTTTCTACTTGACCTCAATTACTTGAAACATATGCATCTTTTCCCCATGGAAGGAGCATATCGGAAATATTTAAATTCTTATGGTCATGCTTGCTTTTCACAGATGATTGGATGGTTGCCCAGGCATATGCCATCTCATCCTTCCCCCGAACAATTTGTCATTTGTTTAACCTAGCARAATTTGTTTTTCATGACCAGTAGAAATGACAGTGCTAAAATGTTTTACAGGGAAATGCAAATAAAGTGGCTATAAGTTCTGTCATCTTAATATTCTTTTCCCCCAATCACTGTTTAATATAAAAACGAATCTTAACCTTTGCTTCACATGTAGGTTATTTTTTAACATTGAGAAAACAGGAAAGATATTTTAAACTAGGAGTTTTTATTTTRTGAAACTGAAAACACTCATGAATGTCAGCGAGACAGGTTATACTGCCAGGAAGTGGAGTTTCCTGGATTCCTTGCGTCTATTCACAGGTAACCTTGGTCCCCAATGGGAGCTCGTGGCTAGGAGCTTGAATGTGCTCTCTGTCCCGATTGATCCCAGGCTAGAGCCTGGCTTTGAGGAAGAGATGGTTTCATGGAACCGCATTTGGAATGAAAGGAACACTGAGAACATGTCAAGAGCTCCTGTCACTGGAAATTGTTTCTCAAAACCYTTAGGTGAGCTCTGTAGGGCTTCAGGTACAGTATGAAAGTCTCAGAAGATGCAGATCCTGCCTCTAGGCAGCTTGGCTTGGATGCCTGGACTCAGGCAGTGCCTCTGTCTCAGAGGTGAGTGTGGTCAGAAACCCATGGATTCCTGATGGTTCTTTCCAAGTCTCTCACCTGTAATACCATAACACCGGGAGGCGAAGATGGGATCTTTTGAACTTAGCCTCACTAACAAGGGCTTATTCAGGATTGTGTGATGTAAGCCAATTGATGATCCTTTTCAGCAACYGTGGTCCACTGTATGAAAACAGCATTGCCACCTGTGCCATCCACCTGTCCACATCTGTTCTCGAGRTTACAGACGCGCAGCCCACAGCAGGACCCAAGGGCTGACCTGTGGCCAGTGTAATCCTGTGGCTGTGAATTGCAGTTATGGGTGCCATGGTTTTGTAAGAAGAAGGATGTCTGGCCTGACGATCATCACCATGCGGTTAGAGAGACGGGGGGACACAGACCTGTAAGGCTCTGGGGTGGGTACAGGATAGATCCTAGGGAGCCCYTCTCTGACAATGCAAGTCATCTGTTCTTCCTGAATATTCCATCCTGTAGCATCAATTCCTTGGCCYCCTAAGAAAAAGCACATTGTGGTCCCTTCCCCGCGAGTTTGCCTGGTGTGCCGGGCAGCCTGTGTCCCAGCAGTGGAAATAAATTGAACCCAAGTTGACATCCCTGCTGTGGCCACTCTTGGGTCACTCACTCAGGGTCACTCTGTGTCTGGGGATTGAGCCCCGGGTGCTTTACCACTGAGCTACATTCCCAGCCCCCTTTGTAAGGCATTTTTAAGACRGGGTATTGAGACAGGGTGCTGCCAAGTTGACTCGGCTTGCCTTGAACTTGCTCCTCCGGCCTCGGGGTTCCTGGGAGCATTTTCATGTTTTACACAGTGGGGACGTACCCAGAAGTGCTTTCGAGGTATTAAGGGACTTCAGACAAACCTGCTAAACCCCCTGTCCCTGGTCCCCCCCCCCACTCTGCCCCCCTCCGCCCTGTTTGTCACATCCCCTCTTGCTGTTCTGCCCCCTGCCACTCCCGTGGGTGCTCCAGCTCATTTTCTTCCTCTCGRGCCTCGGATCCCTGCTCCCCAGGACCTCCCTCTGCCCTGCGCCCCGGATCCTTCGCATCAGCAGGTGAACCTGCCACCTCCCTGACCTGCATCCCTCCCCAGCCGCCCGCCTCCCCTTTCCCGTCCTGTAGGATGGGATGCCTCAGAAGGCTTGTCCACAACCAGGCTGGCTTCCCCTCTCCTCACCRCCTTTGCCGCCTGTCTCAGTCTGGCTCTCGCCCCACTCCAGTGCCGGCCCCTGAGGTCGCTGGGCCCCGATCCATCCYCAGACCTCTGGGGCCACCCCCTCCTGGGTTCTGAACCTCGTCAGTCTGGTCTTCTGCCTCTGTACCCAGGGCCCTCTGCCCTGAGCCTTCCCCATCTAACTCTCACAATCGTGGGATTTCAGAGAATCTCTGCGGTGGTTTCTCTGGCTTGGACTCCCCCCTGGGTGAAAGGCTCCCATCAAGCCCACCCGCACTTTTGGGCCCCTTTGTGCAGGCACTTGGCTGCCACCTTCTGGAGGTTTCCAGAGCGAACAGACAGCTTTCAGATGACACTGAACTGAGGTGTCGGCAGCAGCCTGCAGTCCTCAGTGTGGGCAGCCCAGGGTCCTCCACTGGGCGTCACAAGCACTGTGGTGCCCAACCAAACCCCTGTTCCCAGCCCCCATCCYATCCTGCCCCAGTTTTATTTCGGGTTTCTTCTGTTGAATGAAGTGTCAGACTCCTTAAATTTATCCTTGGCGCCTCTCTCCCACACTCCAGTTTCAATCCATCACAAACCCTGTGTTTTTTTTTCCTTCAAAATACATTAGAATCTGGGAGCTGGGAATATAGCACAGGGGTAGAGCGCTTGCCTCGCCTGTGCGAGGCCCTGGGTTCCATCCTCAGCACCGCAAGTGAACAGACACGATGAATTCACTTCTCGGTAACTCAGTGTGGCCACCAGGTACAAGTCCCCTCACCTCCTGCCTAGATGATTCCCGTGTCAGTCTTCCTCCCCTCTCCATTGCCTGTCCCCAACATAGTAGCCAGGATTACGCATTGCCTGTGGTCTGGGCCCCCTCTCCAGCCACGTCGGTGGTCTTGCTCTTCCTTAGCGTGTGCGTGGGTGCCCTGCCTGGCTGCAGTGACAGTGAGCAGAGCTCCCTCCTTCCCTTGCCCGAATCTGCTCAGCTGTCACTTCAGTGCATCAGAGATGCCTTCAACAAACTCATAAGAGCACCCTCCCCCAGCATCTGACCCCCGTTCTCCCGTCTCCATCACCCTGTGATGGGCACACACGGCTTTCTGTTCACCTCATTAGAGCTTAATCTTGCGAGGCTAGGGACTTCTTTCTTTCCCTCGATTACATCCCAGTTTTTGAAACAGTCCTTGACAAATGGTGAGATCTCAATAAATACCAGTAGAATACCAGATGGATATACAGGCATCCCTGAATCTCGTCTAGGGAACCCTGTCCTTGAAAAGACCCAAAGGTTTGAAATGGTCCTGCATAGTTACAAGCTCTCACTTCCACCGTGGAAGCATTTCCTGGAGTCCAGGAACTAAATTAAATCTGTATGAAGATGGTGTTGATGTTTCAACCTTCAGGAAGGACATTGTCTCCTACAGGAAAAGTAGCCAGKCGCCACCTAGTGGTAGCAGAAGCCCACATTGGTGTTCCAGCCTGTCCAGGAGCTGGTGCTTGGTTATGAGAGCTCAAGTCCATCAGAGGAATGAGCGCAGGAGACTTAGCTTGCTGTTTTCCACAAAGGGGCACAGGTCATCACGGGGACAAACTAAGATGGAAATGTCCATGTCCACGCCTGCTGGCAGGAAARGCAGAAGTCGGTCCTAGGCCTGCTCTTCTAAACTTGGAAAAGCGTGGTCATTTCCGTACTTSAGTGAATTAAAGCGGAAACTCACAGGTCTACCTTGGGGGCCTGTGACCTTTCCAGTCCCCAGCAGCCACGTGGAGACCTGAGTGGTGACCGGGTGAGCAAGTGAAGGTGGGGAGAAGGTCCACGAGGAGATGAACTCGGGTGCCCACGTGCAGGTTGGGCAGAAGACCGAGCAGTACCAGAGGGCGATGGCTGGGGGTGTAAGAGGAGAAAGCAGACCTCACACCAACATGGAGCGTTTCCCAAGGAGAGTTCCCCACCGGGGGACAAATGGCAGCAGACAGAGGCTGGGTGTTGAGCTGCCAGGGTTTGTGGGAGTTACTGGCACCCTCGGGTTCTCTCCGAGACCTGCCCGTCTCCCCTTGGCGCAGTACACCTCTGCACTTCACTCCCCTTTGGCCCTGGGGGCTCGATACCACCTTCCCGTCCCCACCGTTCCTGTCGAGTGCAGCTTAGCGCTTACTTCATGCTGCCTGGGTTAACTTTTCCCCCTGTGAAACATCTGCAGTGCCTCAGTTAAGGCYGAGCTCCTTGAAGACAGGGCTGCATCTCGGGCCTGCCCTCCTCTTGGCCCTGCCATCRAACATCTTCATGGGTGGAGACCGTTTTGGTGGGGGAGGTACAAAGGCCACTGAGAGTCACTTCAGCTGGCATCTTGGCCCAAGRGTTTGGTGTAGCAGTTCTTCAGCTGGAGACGAGAGGAACCAAAATATCTGTTCAACTTGGTTCCCTTGTCAAAACTGTCATCTYTTAAACAATCTAATAGTAACTAGATTCCCCTTTTGAGTTGTGTTGTTTTTCACTCACCTGATATCTCGGGAAATTGGTCTGGAAACTGATAGTACAAGAGTTGAAATTTTTAAACAGTAGTTTTCTATTAGTTATTTTAGGGTTTGTCCTTCTTGATACCTGATTTCTTAATTTGGTGCTGGTTTTTGTGTTGTCATTGAGACAGCCACAGATATGCTGGATGGTTTAAGGGTTTATAATACTTGATTGCTTACCAAACATGAGCACATTCAGCAACCACAGCATGTGTACGATTTGATATTTCTAGAATCTTCTCTGTGATTTGATTGTTTGTCACGCAGTGTTCTCTCATGTATAATGACCAAGGAGACATTGAGTATTTTGACTTGTAATTGAAGAGATATTTCCTTATAATTGTGGCCAAGAATGTATACTCTGAGGTTGGATTAATCTGTGGGTGTTTTTTTCTTTTTTTTAGAATATGCTGAATTTCTACATTGCAAAGGAAAAAAGTTTATAGATTTTGATGAAGTTCGCCATGAAATTGAAGCAGAAACAGATCGAGTGACTGGAATGAATAAAGGCATTTCCTCCATACCCATTAATTTGCGAGTCTATTCTCCACATGGTAAGTAAAATATTAAAATTTCAAATTCTTCTCCTCAAACAATTTTTACTGTGTTCATTAACATGCATTGTGTAGAAGATGCACAGAGTGCTGAGTTTCTAGAATTTCAGATGCTGCCGTAAAATGGAATGGCCCAGAGAGCTCAGAAGATTCATAGAGAGGCAATGGGAGGTGACCTTTTGCAGATCAGAATGGAGCTCAGTGTTTACGCTTTTTATTTTCATGATGAAATTTCAGAATTTGAGAGAGGTATATGTGAAAACTTTCATTTTTCTTATCTTCAATGATTTCAGAAATCTTAGGAGCGGGTGGCTGAGGCTTCCCCTGCTGATTTCCATGGGGCTCTATGAATTTCTCTTTTCCTCCTAAGGAATCAGCTGTGATCTGTATCCCTAGACTGTCAGCTTGTAATGTGGGTAGCCAGTTCCTGGTACGTGATGGGAAATAGCCTCTGTCCCGGACTAAACTCTGAGTGGGACAGATTTTCACTGCTCCTTCTCTACCTAGCTCTGCTGCCTTTGGAGCAGAGCATGAATGACAGAAGCTCAGTTATGACTTCCCACGGGGACTTGGTGCCAGCACCCAGCTTGGGCTGGAGTCACGTGGCCACTGACGGCTCGCTTGCCCGGCCCGCTGGAGGCACGCCGGGCCCCAGAGATGGCTGACTGCTTCCCTGCAGGTGAAGAGGCCGGCCTTCTGTGAAGAACCTCGGAGGCTCTTGAGGGGAAGGGCCAGCCTCACCCCGGGAGTTCCTGTACAGCGTGTGGGCCATGTGCCAGACTGGCAGACAGCACACGCATTATTGTTCAGTGCTTTAATTACAACCCCCTAGTTACACAGCTAGGCAGCGACAGCTCTCTGAGCAAACTRTTAGGCCTGCAGATCAGTGCCTTTCAAATTATGTGAAAATGATCATTTGGCAGAGCACAATCATACAAAAATAGAGAAAACTAGCAAAACCATTTTCCTTTCTGTGCTTTTCTTCCTACGCCTGGGCTGGAGTCATTCAAATGCACCATGCAGAAAGCTGAGCTCAGCCCCAGCTGACTCTGCACGGTGGATGTCYGTCAGCACTGAAGGTGCACGCACGACTCTTTCCCCTTCCCCACACAGTGTTGAATCTAACCCTTATCGACCTGCCTGGAATAACGAAGGTGCCCGTGGGAGATCAGCCACCAGATATCGAGTATCAGATCAGAGAAATGATCATGCAGTTCATCACCAGGGAGAATTGCCTGGTTCTGGCCGTCACTCCAGCCAACACTGATCTGGCCAACTCAGACGCACTGAAGCTGGCTAAAGAAGTTGACCCTCAAGGTGAGTGTGGACAGGGATTATTTTAAGATGTCAGCAGTATGGGTGTATTTAAAGGTGACAAATTCTCGTGACTTGATTTCATTGTTGATAAAATTCAACATGATTAATGTTGGTAAATCTTTTAATTTAAGCCATTACAAGAAAAAAATCATCGAGGAACAGAGCAAAATTCCATATACATAAATGTGAGATAACTGAGATCTAAGAAAAGGAGCATTGCTAAGCCTTATGGACTACTTTTTTATAAAGTCAATGAAATAAACTTTTGCTGTAGCAGAATTCAGGTACTCTACTTAGTTATGTAAGAGTTAACTGAAGGGCTGGGAGTTGTAGCTTACTGGTAGAGTGCTTGCCTAGCTTGTGAGAGCCAGTGGGTTTGATCTCAGCACTGCATACAAACAATCAATCAATCAATCAATCAATCAATAATATAAAAATAAAGATCCATTGACCACTAAAACAAAAAAAGTTGATTGAATATACTCTCAAAAAGGAGCCTTTCTGTGTTTTTTGTTTTATTTCTTTATATTTTTAAAAATGTCTTTTAATGCCTTGAAGATATTATTTAGCTTATAATTATTTCACATATATATGGGGGGTGGGGAGAGATGAGCATGGATTTATCTGTCAGTGGCACGTCAGAAACCAGAAAAGCCTCCTCCCCATGCAGAGACCCCAGTCATGGGCCTCGTGAGTCTGTCTGAGGTAATTCGGGAGGGGCCCTCAGTGATTCCTTCTTTCAATATGGAAATGCATGCTCGCCAACTCACATTTTTACTTTGTAGAGTTCTTCGGACCCACTTTTCTTCTCTTTATTTGTAATTTTTGTATTGCACGTTGTCACTCTTAGATGAATTCTCTTTTTGTGTTGAGTTATTGATGTGTTTGCTTGCCAGGCTGGGGATTGAACCCAGGGTCTTGCTCATGCTCGTTGGAGCTACATTCCTAGCCCTAATTTTCCATTTTTGATATGATTTTTGCAAGTGCCAACAGAATTTTAAAAACTATTTGTGAATGTGGCTTCCATTTTTTAAGATTGCATATGGCCCTCGGCTTCACAACCGCAGTGTCTTCTCTGAGACCTTAATGAGAGCTTTTGGCGGCTTCCCCTTCATAATGCACGTTGTTTCTGAGYGTATCCCTTACTGGTTGGTTGTTTTGCCTGCATCCTTGATGGTAGAGGCCTTTTCCCCAATGTTTGGTGACCTTTCACTGCTTGTTTCTAGATGCAAGGAATGCCCTAAAAGTCCCTGTATGTTGTGTCTGGGGTTCACTGGCRAGCGGGCTTCCCCCCGGGGCGACTGGGCTGGGACCTGGCCGTCTTGTCAGTCTTCCTCAGCTGCTGTATTCTATGAGTTTTTCTTCTTGAGCTTCTCTGGTAGCATTCTGATGTCCAGWGTGCTTGGAGCCGAGAGGAAGAATGGATTTTGTGGGGGCAGGGAGGGGCAGTTCTCAGTCTTCAGTAGGTAGGCTTTTAATTAATGTCAGGATGGTGTCCCCCAACGTTTTCTGAGTCTAAAGTTCCCTTAGTCTGTCTGCTTCTGAGGGCAAATCGTCGGCACTCCATCAGAGTTGAAGGAGGGTGGCTGTACGGTAATGCAAGAGGGAGAAAAGGTTTGGAGATCTGTGTCCTGTACGAGCCTTTCTCGGGTTCTCCCATTTTCTACCCTCTGCTCCCTGGCCTTGAAGCTCTGATTGTTTGGCTTTCCCAGAGTTCTGCAATGGAAATTGGTGAGTTTCTTCTTGGCTTCCTTTCACATCCCTGAATTAGGGCTTGGGATAAACTCTCATTAGAAACTAGAGTCCATTATAAAACTGGTAGCCACTAACCCCTGTCTCCACAGCCTTCATGTCTCTCAGAGGCCAAGCCACAGCTGCCTGAGATAATCCTTCCATCAGCAAATTCTAGTGAGCACCACAGCCTCCATCCTGAAAAGTCCATGCTGAATTCAGAGGAAGCTCCATGGAGGCGGGCAGATGATATCACCCTGTCCTTGAGTTCTCTTTGGTTCTGCCTTGGTTCTGCCTCCTTGGAACTGGTCCTTTTCTCAGACTCTCCTCACAGGTGGCAAGATGTCTGCAGTAGCTCCTGCCTYGGATCCTCACAACTTCAAATCTTGTAGAGGAAAATATGACAGAGAWTCTTTTATTTGCATGAACTATGAATTTTGTAAGAGATACAAGCGACAATAGAATTGGCCCACTGATAYACCTTGTAAAATACCTGCAATTAACTCTTAAGATTGATTTAACATATCCTATTGTACTCCTTTTGTATAGATAGAGAATATTAATAGCCAGTGATTATACCTCATTCCTCAGGCTCTTCAAAAGAAGATTAAGTTGTAACCTAAAATAGCAGCTCTAGTGAGATCCAGCAGATGGTTAGGTGGGAGCAATCCATGTTGATGTAGGTGTCTTCAGGTTGCCAGAGGAGAACTGATGTGCACCGTCTCACTGCCGGTGTTTCCAAAGTGTTTTTGTAGCTTATGTGAAACACAGCCTTAGCTTTCAGTCATGGACACGTGTTCCACAAATCTGCCTCCAGAAAGAAATATTAAATTCCCGCCCCCCATCATTATCTGGCTCATTTTCAAGATGCCATCTAGAAATTTCCATGTGAATGTTCRTGAATGTACCTAAAATTTACCTCATTTCTTGTGGATCATTAGAACTGCTGCTCTATCCAAAGCAACCCTCAGCAAGAAAAGTGAAGTAGAAGGCATCACCATATCAAACTTCGATTAGAACCTTCTCTCTCACCCTATCCAAAACTCAACTCAAAGTGGATYAAGGGCCTAGGCATTAGACCAGAGACCCTGTGCTTGCTAGAAGAAAAAGTAGGCCCAGATCTCCATCATGTCAGCTTAGGAACTGAACTCCTCAACAAGACCATAGAGCACAAGAAGTAGAATCAATAAACGGAATGGGCTCAGACTAAAAAGCTTCTTCATGGCAAAGGAAACAATCAAGAACATAAAGAGAGAGCCYACAGAATGGGAGAAAATCTTTGCCACATGCTCCTCAGATATAGCATTAATCTCCAGGATACATAAAGAACTCAAAAAACTTCATACCATGAAAACAACCCAATCAATAAATGGGCAAAGGAACTGAATAGACACTTCACAGAAAAAAATATGAATGGTTAACAAATATATGAAAAAATGTTCAACATCACTAGCAATTAGAGAAATGCAAATTAAAACCACACAGAGATTTCATCTCACTCCAGTCAGAATGGCAGTTATTAAGAATGCAGACAACAATAAATGTTGGTGGGGCTGTGTGGAAAAAGGCACACTCATACATTACTGGTGGGACTGCAAATTGGTGCAATCACTCTGGAGAGCACTATGGAGATCCCTCACAAAAAYTGGAATGGAACCACCATTTGACCCAGCTGTCCCACTCCTCGGCATATACTCAAAGGACTTAAGATCAGCATCCTATAGTGATGTGATCACATCAATGTCCAGAGCAGCTCAGTTCACCATAGCTAAACTATGGAACAACTTAGGTGCCCTTCAACAGATGAATGGATAAAGAAAATGTGTTGCATACACACAATGGAATATTCCTCGGTCCGAAATTATGGCATTTGCCAGTAAATGGTTGGAACTGGAGACTATCATACTAAGTGAAATAAGCAACTCCCCCCAAACCAAAGGCCAGATGTTCTGTCTATTTGCAGTGATGACTCACAGTAGGCATGGGGTGGGGGAGTGGACGTTCACTGGATTGGACAGGGAAGAATGGAGGGAGATGGGAATGGGAAAGACAGTAGGATGAATCAGACACCACTTTCCTATGTTCATACGTGAAACTCCACATCGTGTACAATCAGAAGAATGGGAAGTTACACTCCACATGTGGTGTGTGGATGAGGTGTCAGAATACATTCTAGTGTCATGCATAACTAAAAAGAAAAAGAACTGCTGCTGTGTCATAGACGACCCTCTTTACCTAATTTTTTCTTTTATATCACATAAATGGTAATCCTGAGAGCAGATTCTTTTTTAAGTTTTGGAAGAATATTTTGGCAGAAGCACAGAAACCTCTAGTGCCACCTCCCTGTCTACCACCCCTGGAGGGAGATGGCCAAGGACAAACACCTGTTGAGGGCTCCCATCAAGCCAGATTCTCTGGTTGGTTACTGAAAGTTCCTTGCTAATCCTAAGGGTTAGGATTTTTTTCAAATCTGTTTCAATTCTAAAACCCGAGAACCCCCAAAACTACCTGAAGCATTTCCATGGAGATCTGTCCTGAGGCTTCAGCTGGTCCTGGATGTCACTGAGGATCTGAAAGAAACACTGGTTATGCCCATGGGGCTCACATTGTGCRCCGTCTTCAGTGGTGATAAAAAAACAAATTGGGAAAACAAGGAGTTAAGGGTATATAGAGAGATGGACAAGCAAATACATTCAAGTACCCTCTTGTATTTCCCTAGATATTCTGTGAATAGGTCTCCACGTCTGATTTGAAAATCTAGTTTTCCTTATACTTTTAGTTTTGATTATTAAAAAAAAAGAGTGGCATCAACTTTGATTGTTTAGGAATGTCTTGCTTAATTCTACATATTTATGAATTTCCTGAATTCCCTTCTGTTACTGATTTCTAATTTCATTCCATTGGGGTTGGAGAACATACTTTGCATTATTTCAATGCTTTTCAATTTATAATTCTTATGGCGAGATTGTAATAAATCACCAAGTCGATCTTAAAGCAAGAGACAGAACATTTATTCACCAGCTGGCGGGCCAGGGGGCATGCTGCAAGTATACACCTTTCAACCTCCTCCAGGGGTTTGAGTACACCTTTCAACCTCCTCCAGGGGTTTGAGTACACCTTTCAACCTCCTCCAGGGGTTTGAGTACGTCTTTTATACCATAAGTAAAGCATGTCAGTACATTAATTATAAATGGCTGTTGCTGTAATTCAAAACCATAAACAAACATYGTGAGATCTAAAATCATAAGCGTCAGGGCAAGTGGGTCAAA